TTTATTTTTAATTATGGGTGCATAATAGTTGTATATATTTATGGGGTATATGTGATGTTTTGATGCAGGCATACAGTATGTAATGATCAAATCAGGGCAATTGGAGTATCTGTCACCTCAAGCATTTATCATTTCTTTGTGTTATGAACATTCCAATTCCACTCTTTTAGTTATTTTAAAGTACACTTTTATTGGTGACTATAGACATTTTGTTATGCTACAAAATATTGTTGATTCCATCTAATTATCTAACTATATTTTTGTACCCATTAACCATCCCCACTTTATCCCTCCTCCCTGCTACCCTTCCTGGCCTCTGGTAACCATTCTACTCTCTGTCTCCATGAGATCAATTATTTTAATATTTAGCTCCCACATATGAGTGAGAACATGTGAGATCTGTCTTTCTGTGCTTGGCTTGTTTCACTTAATATTCTCCAGTTCCATCCATGTTGTTGCAAATGACAGGATTTCATTCTTTTTTATGACTGAATAGTATTCCATTGTGTATATTCACCACATTTTCTTTATGCATTCATCCACTTAGGTTGATTCCAAATCTTGGCTATTGTGAATAATGCTGCAATAAACACGGGAGTAGTTCTGATTTATTTTAACTTAATGTTAACAAACATTTACCAAGTTTATCCTATCTGTTAGGCATGGTGCTAGGCAGTAGTGAATATATAGGTATCTTAAAGGATCTCCACAGGTTGGCAGAGTGTGAACATGGAAGCAAAATACTATTCATAATGAGAGAGATGCTAGAAGAGTGATGTCACTATGTGACCCCTAGGAATACAAATGAGGGGCTGCCTGGTGGCTGAGGGGTTAGAAGGGGGACGGGGGAGGAAGAGACAGAGGAAACATTGTTGCAGGAAAAGCTGCGGGTGGTGGTGGTGACTTTTGTTCTGGAAGTAGGGAGAAAATGGGTTCCCCAGTTGGGCAAAGAGGCAGTGCCAGACTAGGGCCAGAAGCAGGAAAGTGCTTAGTGTGGGTAATATCTGACAGTAATGAATGGTGGATTTTTTTTTCTTGTTGTTAAAAAAAACAAAAAAAACAAAAAACACCTTAGAAGGTGTTTTAGGTCCCATAGTTTAGTTCAACTGATGTAGCACTTGTATAAAATCATGAGTCATTGAATGATTAGATCAGAAGGGATCTTAGGTTTTTGATTTGCTCAATTTGGATATTTTTGTTAGGTCCAGAGCTGAGAGAGAGACACACGAAGCCTCATGTGTAGCAAAATGCTGTTTATTTTGAGCATCTGGTCGCAGATGGGTAGAGGCGAAAAAGCATCCACAAGAGGAAAGGGGAGAGCCTTGGGTTTTTCCGGGGGGAGTAAGTAAGTGGGCCAGAACAGCTGCTTGTAATAAATTCTTTTTTAAACAACCAGTTCCTAGGACCCCTGCACCAGTCACATCCATCCTTCAGCTCCGGAGGCGTCCTTATCAGGAGAGCTAGGGAGGGATAGACTTCATCCCTAGGGCGGGCGAGGGTGGGAGGAGGAATGCTGGCTGTAGCTGTCTGTTAGATTTCAGTGTCTGGGGATTCTCCACACTCCTGTGGCTATTGTTTTACAAGCCTAAGTTTTGCATTAACCACATTCTGTCTTATACATACTTTTTGGGTTCCCACCTGGAACAAACCTTACAATTTTTAAGAGTCAAGAAAAACCCCCATGTATCTTAGTGCCCAATTGCTTTGCTGGTTAAAGTCTTGTATGTATGAAATATTGAGTAAATTTTCATGCTGTATGTGAAATATTGAGTGAATTTTCATGCTGGGTTGAGGTTTGGGCTCATTTTGGGTAGAACATCTAATAGCTTTAACTAATACTTTTTGTTGGCTGTCTTTGTCTACAGGTGTTGGAAATCAATAGCTCTTCTAGCTTGTACTTTATTTAAATATAATAGTATCATTGGACTAAAATGTTCCTGATGCCAGCCTCTTCCGAGTTAAACAGTGGGCAGGACTTCTTAACCCAGTGGATGGCCAATCCTTCCCGGGCTGGGGTCATATTAAATCGTGAATTTCCTATTTTGGAAGCAGATGAAGAAAAACGAGCAGCTGCGGACATTTCTACCAGCTTTCCTATTAAAGCCACACGTTTTTCTAACAGTTTTAGCTTTATAAGTGAAGAAGATTCACTTAATGAAGAACAGAGGTTGGAGTCTAACAGCCTTTACAAACTGCAATCAGATAAATCTGAAACCCATACAGTCTTTCCATTAATTAAAAAGGGACCACAAATAGCAGCATGTCAGGATGCTCCTGGACACCAGGAAGATGATAACTTTATCCCAGATCCTGCAAATGAATTCAAAGAAGTGGCTTACAAAGACCCACTTTTTAAAAAACTTGAACAGGTACAGTAGGATTTGGCCTGATATGTATTCATGTTATTGCAGGTTTCTATTTACATAGTAAAGTCATCTGTTCCAGGTCTTCTTGTTTCTTTCCTTTACTCTAAAATCCTCAAAATGCCAGATTTTGCCTTTTGTCTAATGTGAAACATTAAAATGTGTTTAATATGTAAATTTATATCTTTAAGTTGCTACCTCATTGGTAAAACTAGGTTAGAAATGGTTGATCAAGTATTAGAGGAAAAAAGTGGATGTATTGATCCATCCTGTTTTAAGAATCAAAGGATTTATATGGCTTTTTCTGTTTCTTAGTTGAGATAGTTGATATAATTTCCTTCATAAGGAATTGGATTTTTTTTATTTATTTATTTATTTATTTTTTTAAATGTAACATTGCTGGCCCAGGGGGCGGGTCCACCACGTGCAACTGGGCGAGGCAGGTCATGGCAGCTGCCGGCTTGTGCTGTGGCCCCCCGGGGTGCTGCAGGCAGCTGAGGTGGCGGTGTGGACTGTCCCAGGAATTGGATTTTAGAGTTTTTTTGTAGAATTCAAAAAAAAGCCTACAGCACCCCATATTCCCAGGTTGTCTCCCATCCAAATGCTATCCAGGGCCGACCCTGCTGGGCCTCTGAGATCAGAAGAGACAGGGCTCATTCAGGGTGTGGATTTTAGAGTTTTGAAGGCAAATTTGTTACTTACGGGTCTTTGTTTGAAACTTCTTATCAGGGAAGATGTGAGAAGGGAGACGGAGGGATTAAGATAAATGTAAGAAGCAAGAGTCCATGAGAAATGTAAAGTTGGTTTAATAAAGTTAATTTTACATTTAAAAAGCTGAAAGAAGTACAACAGAAGAAGCAGGAACAACTGAAGAGGCAGCAGTTAGAGCAGCTGCAGAGACTCATGGAAGAACAAGAGAAACTGCTCACCGTAGTGTCTGGGCAGCACACACTTCCAGGTACGCTTGGCTTACACAGGGCCTCAGTACCACGAGATACAGTTATGTATGTTTCTCACCTGTAGTTGTTCGACAGGTCATTTCTGTCATTCCTCTGTCATATGCTATAAATTTCAGTTTCTTTAGGGGCCAAGCAGGGATGTGTGAAATGGTGGTACTGTAATATTAATGTAACTGGGCAGGTAGGAGCTGTGACATTCTCAAGTGTGCCTGCCCTGCTTAAAGGCATTCATGTTTGTTTATTTAAAAAAAAAAAGCTCTGTGGAAGGGAGCCAACTGTGGCCTAGAGCTACTGGTATCCAACCCCTGCCTGATGAATGAAAACTGTTTGGCATCGTAAAGTTAAATATATGTAGGAGCCACTCTGTCCAGCTGAAGAGCCATCGCAAGCATATTCTGTGGAAGTGGGTGACAGTGATCTGTTGTATGCCACATCAGTTAAGAGCATGACGTACTAATCAGAGTAAAAACTGTTGAAATGTGATCTGTAGCAGTGGTTTGAAAGTTTTTTTACCGCACTACATAGTAACAAAAATATTTAAAATCATGACTTATAATGACAAAGAAATTTCATATTATCAGTCCTTATTGGTGTTCCTGCCATGTAGTAAGGATATTTTCTATTTTGTTTATTCTAATTCTGTCATTTTAAAAAATGCCAGTCATGACTTGTTGCATCAGGTGATAAAATTACTGATGGATTCTGTCCCACAGTTTGAAAAACCGTGAGCTAGAGCAGTATGTTTGCTTTTTGGTGCTGCTTTTTAGGAGACACATTTACTGATTCAGGAAAGTGCCTGTTCTGTTTAAAGATTGTGCTGGGCATTGAGAGTACAAGGAAGAAAAGACACTGGCAAACGAGTGTGCAAAGTGTGGCTGGGTGCAGGGCTGGGGTAGGTCGTGGTCGTGAGAAATTGCAGGTAAAGAATGGCTTAGGAAATTTGGATATGTTTATCTTGGAGAGGATAGAGAACATGTGGTGTGTATCTTAAAATAGTTGAATGGTTTGAGATTTCCTAATGGAATGCATAAGAATAATAATCAAGACACTTAAACAACAGCCATGATATGTACAGTAGAACCAGCGCTATGGCAGAGTGACAGGGAAGCAGATGTCAAAGCTATTAACATAAGACCAACCCCATTCATTCACTGAGCAGTTTGCTTTGGGGCAGTGTTTTTCCAGCTTTTTGGTCTCAGAGCCCCTTAGCACTCTTAAATTACTGAAGACCTTGAAGAACTTTTTTATAAGACTATATTTATCAATAATTTACTACATTAGAAATTAAAACTGAGACATTTAAAAACTAATTCATTTAAAATAATAAACCAAATACATGTTATCATAAGTAACATTTTTAAATGAAAAATCTTTGCTAAAACAAAAGTCAGTGAGAAAAATGACATTGTTTTTATACTCGAAAGTTTCTAACTTCTGGCTTATAATAAGTCAGCCGATTCTCGTATCTACTTTTGCGTTCAGTCTCTTGAATTACATTGTTTTGATACGTGAAAAATTCCAGCTTCACATGGGTATATACATAATTGGAAAAAAGAGAGGAGTATTTTAGTAGCCTTTTCAGTAATTGTGCTTATTCATCTTTGATATTATACCTTAACTCAGCAAGTAGTCATTTCTTAGTAGTTATGGAATCTGAAACCATATTAATGAACTTTTAATATGTACTCTATTACATTGAATATATTTAATAATTAAATAGTATATAATTAATACATTAAAATATATTGAATATCTTGACATTTTGAGTAGATTTTTTATGATGCATGTTCTGGTACTTTGGTCGTTTGGAAAATAGTGATTCACTAAATTATGTATGTCTTGAAAACGTTAACATACTACACTCAGTATCACCACCAGTCACAGCTTAAAAACCTTAAGGAATTATTAAGCCTTTAAGCTCATGGTGGTGGATGTGTTTTCCAAAATGCAAATTTTTATTTGAAAAGTCAAATTTTATCATTGGCAACAAATACTGTCAGTTGTTTTCTTTGAAGTGACTGGCTCACTTGTTTCTTTTTTAAGAAAAATATCTGCCAGATACCCACATTTAAATAATTATAATTTGTCATTCATTCATTCAAGTAAAAATGGCGTTCCTTCAAAGAAGTGGCTAGTTGTGCTTGCAGTTAACGGCACAGCTGCATCTTGGTTTGCCGCAGAGGGAAATTGTGCATACTTCTCATTTTGTCTGATAAAATGTTCAAAATACATGTGTTCTCAATGGTTGAGCTTTAATAAAATTAATAATTTTTGCTACTTTATTAGGACATTCCTTTTTTTTTTTTTTTTTAAACAGAGTCTCACTGTGTTGCCTGGGCTAGAG